TATTTTCCGTTTTCCCTGTCTTACCTGTTGAACAAGTTGTGGTGATTTGGTATGATGACGTCAGTAAAATACCTTCCAGGTAAATCGATTATGTCTGAAATACTTCTCGGGGGAATTTCAGTATATAACCATGACGTATTTCAATTACCTATACATCAATTTACTTGAACTCAATTTCAGGGGCATAACCTCTGCAGTTTTTTTACTCGTGGCATAGTGCAATAATGAATAAACCAAGTATGGTTACTCTCCACAAATATCACAGCGTGGCTTGTATGTTGCGTAACCGCCGCGTGCCTTGTACGGACGCATACATTCGCATAATCTCGCGATGCATTTGCGTTGCATAGCGCTGGTCGTCACATGCGCCTTTCATTTTTATGTAAATGTGTACGTCCATACACGGCGCTCGATGGGCGTGCACACATACAATCCGCTGCTACGTTTGTATGGAGTTATCATACTTGTTTTAGTATACTATGCTTAAGTCAACCAAAGTCAGGTTTGAGGTTGTATAAACTCAACCTCAAATGACTTTGGTTGACTCAGCAGAACAGTGAAAGTGCAGAATGAATTACTTTGGAAAAAATATATAGTAAAATTGATGGTATGCACTGATTACTATACGGTGTGAAAACACGATTCCTAAAAATTTCCACGATAGAGGAAAAACACAAACTTACCTCGAATATTTTACAAGAAAACCGCCGTATTCAATAAGTACCTACTTTACTTAAAGCAATGAGTCTTTTATATATCTCCTGAACTAAATAGAACACGTGTACTATACGATATACATTTTTCAAATGGCTTTAATTACGTTTTGTAAAATAATAAATTTTAAAATTAAGCCAACGTCCTTGCCACTAGACCCAAGCAAAATGAACTGTATTAGTACGGGAAAAATTAGAATTCTAGATAGCTCAGCGCTAGTATCGACTTTTAAGATTTGATTAAGAAGTTCAGAAATTATCATTTTATACAGGAAGTTATAAACGTGTCTCAATAAAACCAAATTTAGATAAATTCTACGTCATATAACACTTGTGTAATAAATTATTTTGACTTTTACTTTATGACATTATTACGTTCTTGACGCTGTACAACTTTGGGCTAAAATGCACTCGTATCCTATAGCATTTCATTGTAGTGATACTGTGTCTGTTATCAATTATGTTAATATAATGTAAAATAATGTAATAACATTATCAAATTATAGTTGTATACTTAAAGAAATACGTTACGAAGTTGTGTGGAACTTAAAATATTAATCCTTTAAGGTCTCCCTACCTTATTATTAGTCTATGACTGCTGTTACCGTACTAAACAGGTATTGCTGCTACCGTGCTAAACAGGTATCTTTTGCCTGCTGATTTTTTCTAATTTGTGACTTAGACAATAACGCTTTTACCGTGGTCTGTTTTGTTCTTCGTATTTGGTGTAATAAAAAACACATTAATAAATGTATTCAATTCAAAAGGAACTTGTAAGTCAAGCATAATAGGTACTTTAAGACACTTTTTCTCTGACGTAATACCTCTGATAGTTTGCAGTTGATTAGTCAAGTAACAAAGGCCGCCATTGAAAGGTATTAATTAACGCAGGTACCAAATCAAAAAAACTCAAGGCGACACAATAAAGGAACTGTAAATCACTATTTGTCATAATTATAAACAAATAATAAAAATATTATTTGTATACGTGCATTTAATTTTGTAATATTGTTCCGGTGGCGAAATTATTTCGGTTGTCAAAACCTGTCGTTGTTGCTTTCACGTAAGTAGGGTGTATAAATAACTTTTTCCAATAGGCTTAGATTAAATGGTAGTTTTAAAAATGAATGAATTAATAATAAATTTTTAAAAATAACTGCCTCAGTGGCCGAACGGTTACCATGCGGGACGGCCACGCAAAGTTCCAGGATTCGACTCCCGGGCCGGGAGAAATATTAGTATGGCTTACATTTATTTCTCTCGTGAGTTTGGGTGCAATATGTGGTTGCCTATGTGTGTCTCCATGGCACCCACGATACACGGTTTCCCTAGTGCGGGGCTGCGAGTGTGTGCGTTGTTATTATTATATTAATAATTTCTAAGCCAATTTTGAATTGTGGTCCTGATTCGACGTTTCCCAATAATGTTAGTACAGTTGATGCCTTTTGATTAGATATGATACCTAGTATCTAATAGTGCATACACTCTAAACTAGCTTGCGCACTGCATCCTATTCGTATTCGTTCCGAATCCGAGACTACCTACACAAATCTAGAAAACTCTGACCCACTTCGGATGTCGTTTGTGCACTAAGTCCGATTCCAATTAGAAAAAATACGAATATCGCTTATAAGCCTAGAGATAAAATGACACTTCGAACACCTGTAACATTTCGGATTGTCATTTCTCGGATTCGGAAGTGATACGATACCAGGGCCCTGATTTTAATGCAATTCGCAATATTATACGCCTCGATTCGAAAAAGTGGCAGTTTCCGGTCGGGAGAGGCAATCAAAATCAAGCTGCTGACCCCCAAACAGTCTATTCGATTATCAGTAGATCAGTGTGAAGAAGAAGTTAAAAATAACCTTTAACCTGTGAGTCGTAAAATTAATTTCGGTGTGACTTCCTTATTGCATCATTAGTTAAGGACATTTTAAGAAACTTTTTAATCCAATTTGATGTTTAATTACGTTAAGTAAATACAAATTTCAACTAAAACGCTGGAATTCCTTTACTCTTTTGTGTTGAATGTGCAAGAAGGCTCTCAGAACCAAAAGGTTGGTTACGGGATCAGTTGTGAATCGCAATCAGGCAATCAAAATCAAGCTGCAGATAACTCAACTTTGTTGTGACTATTTCCAAAATCATTACCTATCTACTTATGGACTTTAGTGAAAACTAGTGTTAAAACAGAGTAAAAGTGCATTTGTAAATACCGCTCTAATCAAATAGGAAACACGACCAAGGACTCCTCGACATTACTTTAACGTACTGTTTGTAAATTTCGTGACACAAAATATACAAAGCCTTAAATAGTTTAGTAGCAGTAGAGCTCCTTGTGAAAGAGTTTGTCCAAGGAAGTATTGCCATCTTCTTAAGCAGTAAAGTGAGTATTAGTGCGTTTCTTGTTTCTCTTGACTTGTCAACTTATGTCATAGGGTGACGGGCCCAATAGGCAGTGCGCCTTAGATCTTTGCGATAAAGCTCTGGGTGACACTGTGACTATCATGGACAGGCGGGCCGCTTACGACCACGTGTACGATTTGTTCGTCCCGTCACTTGATATTATAGAAATAAAGTAGTAGGCCTAGCAGAAGGGGTGCTGTTTGGAGTCCTCAGAGGAGGAATTGTAGAATAAAAAATTTTGAAATAAAATAACAATTAAAAATGTCTCCAAGTGTTCTTCTTCATGGTATTCACGGTAAGTAATTTGATCTTACTTTACTTAATTGTTCTTTGATCGCATTTAAGTATGTATATTGGAGCGTATACAAAAACTATGTAAGTATGGTCGGTGGATTGTACATGTAATAAAATACAATATCGAATGTATATATAATTACATTGGTGATTAGATTAATAACAGCAATCTTTATAGGGTAGTCTAAGATGACGCATCCGATAAGAGTACGCAATGTAGATTGCCGAGAAAGTATTTACATTAAGCGACTAAGTTCAGTGTCATTTTGTAGTGTTAGGAAGTGGAGATTGTTGTGCGGAAAATTATTGAAAACCAAGAAACTACCTAAGTCTGAACATTTTGATTTATTTGCATGAAACTTTTTGGTATTTTCAAATTGTTACTGAGACTAAACTAAGCATATTTTTTTTACATTGACTTTGTATGAAATCGCCCAAAAACTCGTCTAGAGATCAAACTGCAAACGATTCTGGTCACTTGCAACATATGGAGTTAGTAGCAGTTTATTCTGGAATGGCTGAAGTGTGCAAGAGTACGCAACTCGACGTGATGCAAGAGTACTCGCGTAGTCTCATGCCATTTTTTTTAGAATAGTTTACTTCTGAATAAAATTTCTGTCGCTGTGTCTCGTTCTAAATCAACAGAAACCTTTTACGAGAGTCTAGTATTTTTAAAGGTTTAACAGACCTGAGGCAAGTGCTCCGAATGTGTCTGAAATATCGGCTGTAAGTGCGCCTGAAGCACCACTATCACCCTAACTGAGGTATGTCCGTGCCACAAGTAGACTCTTCTCAGTTCTTCATGAGCAAAGACCTTTGCATACCGAGACAAACAATCACATTACCAGAAAGGTATGGAGGTGATTCGTGCAGCCGATAAACGAAGTCCTATCAAAAAAGGTGTTGCGTACTCTTGCCGATGCACATGCGTACTCTTACCCGTAGTACAGTGTAAGAGTACGCAAATCCCATTTTGCACTTTTTTATCAATTACAACCACACTATTAAATATAACTACTTTTCACGTTAATATGTAAGAGTCAGATAAGTAGACTATAAAATAAAACAATAGCTGATTTTCTAACACTTTTTGTTTTCATTCTACACGGTATCAAACCTTAAGTGCGTCGTCTTAAACCAAGCTAACTTACTTGCATTAAGATCTATAGAATCATATTATTCCGAATGAGTCATATTTAAAGAAAAACCTTTGTTAAATAGCAAATATCTTCATTTTTGGGTAATGGCAGTCATTTGGGAATACACCTCCATAATAATTATGCGAAGTATAGTTAACGCGACGCTAATTGGCCGTTGCATGAGCGACTAATCGGGAGAGAAAATTTATATATAAGTACTTAGAATATTACTATTGGCTTTTACGCTACCCGTCACTTTAATTATTGTTAATACACTGCCACGCACTGCTCCACTTTGTACCTAGTGCCCAACAGAACTACCTTCACGCAGACTATAAACAAAGTTAACAGAACGATTTAACTGAAGTAGTGATTTCCTATAGTAACCTTTCGAAATGAATTGGCGGTGAGTATTTAAGACGGCTGCGCAAAATGCGACCGGCCAAAACGCGCGCCGACTCGCGGCCGCCCGCATCTAATGTTGCACATTGCAACGAATAATATTAAATCGAAGTGAAGACCAGACACGATAAGTGAAGCCTAGACTATTTTAAACTCTAGTGTATTCAGTATCGTGCGAAAATGCCAGCCGACTCAACCCTTATAGTAGCTGGAGAGGAGAGATTGGAAAAAAATCAGTTTCAAAGTCTCGCTGAGAGATCGAAACACGAGGATTTTTTGCGGCGTGCCGTGGATTTGTTGGTCGAACGAGTGGTGTTTGGGAGATCTTCGAGAACTTCGAAGGTGGTAGAATGGGCGGTCCCGGAGGAGATTAAGAGTGCGATTGATTTGACACCAAGGGACAGTCCGTTGTCCCATGATGAGCTGTTGAAGGTTATTGCTGATGTAAGTTATTTTTATTTGTTTTTATTGGTTATTGACAGGCATTTGATAACTTTTCTTCTGCAAAGTAATGTAGATAATTCTCTTTTTGGCCGTGCTATTTAGTCCTGTGGAAACTTTCTTTAGAATATACACAATGATACTATTTAGCGGAACACTAGTAAAATGGCCAAAATAGTGGTGTGGGTTTTTAAAAACTCTGGCCGGTTGTTTTACTTTTATTTCACTTTCAGTCTACTATTTTTTTATTATTTTCAAATTAGAATTTGAATTAATTTCCTGTTAATATTGGTTTGGCAAGTGGTTCCGGGTTGATTTCAACTTTTGTACCGTAAAATTTTTTGTACCGTTAAATATGACGGTGTGTGTATTATTCACATGGGTGCTGATGACTTTGACTGCGTCACCGGACATAAAGGCAAATTCAAAGATTATAATAAACCAAAATTTATAATAATTAACGGAAAGTACTTACTAAAGTAACGGACTAACTGCTCCGTGGCCGAACGGTTACCATGCACGCAGAGGTCGCAGGTTGGATTCCCGGGCCGGGAGAACTATTTGTAAAGCCTGCATTTATTTCTCTCGTGAGTTTGGATGTAATTTGTTGTTGTCTATAGGTGTGTCCATGGCACCCGCGACTCAGGGTTTCCCTAGTGCGGGGCTATGTTGATTGTGTGCGTTATTATTAATAAAAAAAAAGTATCGGAAAAATCTTATGCTATTTAAAAGTAATTAAACAGCTTATTGATTAATAAAATGTATTATACAGTGTCCGAATTTGTAAATGCTAGATGTATGGAAGATGTATGTATGTGTAATCCGACAAGTAGTTACAATTTTATAGGATTGTGATGTTTCAAATACCGCGCGATTAAATTTCATATCTATAGACGAAAACATAAAGAATACATCTAAAGTGTGTGATAGGATAGTTTTTAGTATTCTGTAACACACCCTAATACCAGCCAGTTGCCATAATGAATGTGCCACTAAATTGTTAAAAGAGCGATTTTCATGGAAAGCTCTCTTTTCGATCCAATTTAGTTTTGGCATCGTACCTATATATACAAAATGTTTTCATATAAATTTAATGTATGAATGTGTAAAAATACTTACCTAAACGCTTTGTAGTGAAGATCTATTGTGATATGTTTAATTTTATTGTTTAATTGGGATAAAAGAAGCATAACATGCTAGAAGTAATAATTATGACCAAACTCATGTACCTATATAAAGAAAACCTTATAAGACAAAATACATCGAGTATATAACCAGAAATAAAGACGAAATGTCATTTAATTTGTTTGAATACTATTCTGCCATATCATTACTGTGATAACTGCACTCCGATTGGTTAGCCGGAGTTCGAAACAATTGACGGGTGTCGTCAATGGGTGTCAACTGTTTCACTTCAAATCGACCAGTTAACTTGAGCTTTGCCATAATGGACGAAAATTGCAAAATTACATATTTAATATTTAATTACCGATGAAATGTGATTCCGTTTGTTTTGTGATTAGATGTTTTGCTGTTTTTCCCACACCACCGAATAGAACAGCACGGCATTGTTAGAGATATTATCTTTATTACAATAAATACTGAATATTTTTTGGAATATACGGAGACGTACACACAGGTCAGTATTTGGCCCGTCTATATTTCGATGCAAACGAGTATTGATATTTATAAGAGCTGTATCGCTAATGTCTTGCCAGGTGTATATTGGCCTTATTTCGTCTCTATTTCTGGTTATATACCCGATGACAAAATATAAGCCGTGGTAGCCTAATAGTTTGACCTACCGCTTCTCAAGCAGGGGCTGCGGGTTCGAATCGAGACTCGCACTTCCGAGGTTTGCGGAATTTATGCGCGAAATTTTATTTAAAATTTACCGCGAAGGAACACATTATGACGAAACGAAAGAGGTTCACAACCCTTAGAAAATGTATGACCTCCCTAACTGGGCCAGTGTGGCAGATTATGGCCTAAACCTTCGCCTGAGAGGTGACTCGTGGCCAGCAATGGGACGTACAACAATATATATTATGTTTTCGTCGTAATATAGTGCTTTAGTAGCAACGTCCCAGACACGCGTCAATTAAAAAATGTTTAATGATAGTAACATTACGCCTCAGTACCTGCATATATTTACCTTCCATACTCATTCAATAGAATCACTAAGTAACTCATGAATACCAATCTTTCAGGTTGCTCGCTATTCAGTCAACACTGGACATCCATACTTCGTCAATCAGCTCTTTTCTTCAGTTGATCCCTACGGTCTGATTGGGCAATGGTTGACAGACGCTTTGAATCCTAGCGTCTACACTTATGAGGTGGCTCCCGTCTTCACACTTATGGAAGAGGAGGTGTTAAGAGAGATGAGAAGCATTGTCGGATGGCCTGAAGGCGCAGGCGATGGAATCTTCTGTCCTGGAGGTTCTATTGCTAATGGCTATGCTATAAGTTGTGCTCGGCATTACTTCTATCCTGACACTAAGGTAAGGTCCTTGCACCTATATTTTATTTTATTTTGTCGATAAGAGTGGTTACACATGGCGACTTTTAGCAGCGATGCAAACGCGTTCGTGAAACGCGCGACAGCATCGATGCAAACGCGCTGCTGCGTCGATACAAACGCGCGATTGCATCAATGCAATCGCTTATAAATCACAATTGTAGCGATGTAATCCCGCGTTCGTGAAACGCGCGACAGCATCGATACAAACGCGCTGCTGCAACGATACAAATGCGCGATTGCATCGATGCAATCGCTTTTATCGCAAGTGTAGCGATGCAATTGCGCGTTTGTATCGATGCAGTCGCGCGTTTGCATCGCTGCTTAAAGCCACGCGTGTTTGTAAACGTAGACGATTATCTACTGCATCGCGTTTGCATCGCGTCGTCATCGCTGCTAAAATCGCCGTGTGTAAGCTCTAATATATGTCATTAATTCCGCGTTAGGGTTAATTGCAAACAGCGCCATAATCTTTCCTCGACTTTGGCTTTAGATGAATGAGAATGTATTGCATACACCACAGCCGTACACACACAGTATTTCAAATTGTATTTAATTGTTTGCCAAGTTGTTTTTAATTCTGATTTTGTTTAATCTATTTTTCTTTGTTGTTTCTGTGGCGTTGCTATGGATGCTTTCTATTCTATACTATTTCTATTTTGTTGTGTCTAGTGACGGGGCAACTAGGTCTTGCTCATTGCAAAAATAGAATACCCAGTTTGATAATATTTTTTTTATCATATGCACGTGTTGCTCGACCCTGTAACTTGGCACGATTATTGTCTTTAGTGACTGAAAAATAAATAACATATCGAGTTCTTAGGTTTTCGCGATTGTTACACATAGGAAATGAAACTATTTTTCCGGATTTAAGTCAACCGTGACCATGGGACCTGTAAAGGGCCCGAAACGTCGGTTTGCGTGAAAAAATAAATATACGCGATTTAAATCCGGAAAAATAGTTTCATTTCCAATAAAAAAAACAGATTTTTACAAAAGCAGTCTCAATAACATGGCCGCTATGAATTGTCAAAATCTACCCGTCCTTGATGGAAAACCCATTAGTTGCGATGCCATTCAGAGTTTTAATCGCAAAGTTTTGAGAGACATTGCTTCACCCTGAGACATAAAGTTTCACCAGGGCCTATAAAAACCACCACCACTAAAACCGGAACGCCTCAGAGGTCACATTACTGCTTGGCGGCAGAAACAGTGTGTTATTATTATTATTCTAATTCTATAAGTTTCATTTTTTATGAATGTATGAAAACAACTTCTTGTTTAAAAGCTCTTGTATAATGCATTATAGGTATTTGTGTGTTTGTGTTTACCGAATAAACGGGTTTACAATTCCGTATAAGTAGCTCTCAAAAAAAAAAAAACGATATTTAATACATTTTTTAAAGTAAAAATAAACAAGGAAGTTTTTACAATCAAATATTTAATAATTAGTCTACTTGCAATGTATCATTAGCATAATTGCAAGGTTTCAATTAAAATGAGTAAACTTGAACTTAAACGAGGCCAAAAGAACTTCCTAATAGTTTTTTATTTCAGATTTTTTTTGTTCGTATTTTACAGATGCAATTTTTTTTGTTAGTTCACCAACACCTGCTTACACTAAAACTACAACTAGGGAAGTTTTTTTTATAATTTAAAACATTGCTTAATGCTAAGTGCAACAGTTATTTACTGGCGAACACCGCATATTATAATTTTATTGTACACACGTAATTAAGTAAATTTAGATTAAATAGTAACTACGTCTAATTATTTAACAATATAAAAGAAAAAAACAGGAACGAAAAATTACCTACTTATTTAACAAATGCTAAGAACAAGCGCACGGAACTTGCCAAGTGAGATATGGTGTATATCATAATGATGACTGCAGATTGTATAGTCTAGGTACAGGTGAGTTTGACAGACAGTGCGTCTTAACGGAGGGCAGAGAGAGGTGATGGGGTGACGGGATAGTCTCGACGGGACACGGTAATTGAAAAGAGAGCTAGCAATTGAAAGCAATAATAAAAAAAACAAGGATATATAGCGAATAGAAAAAATAGAATTCTTAGTTTTACATTTTTAGGAAATATCACTGAGAGCGTGTGATGGAATTGCATGATTTAATTCCGCCTTCCGCTGTCCATCATCGGGGGACTAGATGTAGACTGGGGTTCCATCCCTATGTTGTGGTTATTCCAAGGATTTCCACGAAGCGTTTCGCTTACACATTTATGTGTTGAACGGATAAGAGCGGAATTCCCTGGTTGCAGACTTATTCTCCGAAAGGTACGAGTATAACTTGAGCCTTTTTAAAACGAGAGTGAAAAGGCAGGGTGCAATGGTCTGTGCACCGTTCAGAAAGTCTTTATTTACTATGTGTCTAGAGATAGCACAATGAAAATCTGCATTCTCTAATCACCGTGTTTTTTATATTAAGGTCCCATGGGATCCGAAAAAATAGTTTCATTTCCTATCATGAACATGATATTCAATCAAAATAAAAAATGAAAGAAAAAAGTTAAAAAAAATAACGTTCTTACATTGACGTAATAGTGTATTTGCAAATATGTAATAACATAGGTGTAATGCAAATAAAGCTAAAGTGGCTGTTCTTGGCACTTGTTTCAATAAAACCATAAATATATTTAAACGGCGTTGACGTATTCATATAATAAAATTTTGTTACTACTCTAACTTTGGATAATTATGAAGTTTAAAACCATAGTTGAATATAATATTTACACAAAAGGTTATTTACACTTCTGCACGAAAATCTTGGGAGTAATATTTGTTATGTCATTTTTTTAGTAACTGTTGTTATATCCTGTTGTTATATGACTTTACATACAACTTGATAATGATATTGAATTGACATTGTGTAGTCTGTTAACAATGTTTTTTACACAGTAATAAATGAAATGACGTGATAATTACACTAAAAAAACCCGCGACAATGGTGCTGACGGAACGTAAACGCATCTCTTACTGTTGTTGTTGACATTTTCGTTGTTTTGATGAACTCGGTAACCCAAAGGTTTGCAATGTGGAATGAGGGATACCGGGTTTGATACCTGGTAGGACCAATTTGGGAAATGAACTTTGAAATTTGTTCTGGTCTTGGTTTTCTGGTATAAACAGTACAGCAAAAGTCTCTCTGGCACTTTATTATTTTATTATTACATGTATAAAAACAAACCAAAGCAAAACGGCTTGTATTATTAAAACCTAACCTCAGTACAGAGTACTAAAAAAACCGACCTTAAAAGTAGTTCATGCCCTAGTTTGCCACCCTTAGAGGTGGAATATTTTCTTCAAAAAATCACTTCTGAGGTGCCTTCTTTCCAACAAAAAAAGAATCATCAAAATCGGTTCACAAATACCGGAGTTATCGCGTAACATACATACAAAAAAAAACATACAGTTGAATTAAGAACCTCCTCCTTTTTTGGCAGTCGGTTAAAAATCATAGGTTCCCAAACTTTTTGTCTCACAGCCCACTTAGGCAAGATAAAAAAAATTTCAACGCGCATCACCACAAAAAATAATTAAAACCATTTATTTTTTATATTAACTTAACACAAAAAAATTACAGGGAAAAAAGAGATAATTCAGGTTTTTTTTTCAAATGTGGCAAAGCACCCCCGGGCAGCATTAACGCCCCCCAATTGCTTCCGACAACGCGCAGTCTATCACATCTACGGGACTTGTAAAGATTCCGAAATATTGGTTTTGTTTGGAAAATACTTAGTTTCGCTTTTAAAGTAGAAACAGAAGTAATTACATTAACACATATATTCAAAGAATTGCTAACCTGTATGTTTATAAAATGCAAAGTGATTCAAACCCAAAAAAAATTAGTAGCTGTAGAGCTCCTAGTGATAGAGTAATGTGGGCATTACAGAGTTTCGGTTTTGTCAACTTATGTCTCAGGGTGACGGGCAGAGTGTCAATGTCCCGCAGATCTTTGTGATTTAACGCTCTGAGTGGCACTGCTTTTGTTATGGACAGGCGTCGCTAACCACCAGGGGAACGACTTGTTTCTCCCCTCACTTGTTATCGTAAAAAAATACCCAGACAGTATTATTCCTATGACGACGTAAACGCCCAGTGTTATATTATAACGGAAGTATAGCATTTAAATTTAGCGTTATATATTTTATATGCTCAGAGACTATTTAGGAAAATACGTTTTTCACACAAAATTGAGGGCATACTTGTTCGGGCCTGAAGCATGTAATTACATGTATATAATTATATTTAGTACATTTTAATGTACATTGAGCGTTTAGTTATTATCCCATTGTATTTAACTGCCTCCTTGGCCGAACGGTTACCATACTCGTCTGCCACGCAGTTGTCCCGGGCTCGATTCTTGGGGTCGAAAAAAATATTTGTATGGCCTACATTTATTTCTTTCGTGAATTTGGGTGTAATTTGTGGTTGTCTATGTGTGTGTCCATGGCACCCGCTACACATGGTTTCTTTAGTGCCGGGTTATGGGTGTGTGCGTTATAAAAAAAAAGCAGTGTCCTATGAGGTTAAGAATGAAATTAATTTAATTTTACATTATTATTAATACACATATCGAGCATAAAGAAAAACTCCTTCGATCTGACAGGATTCGAACCTGTGACTGTAATGCCAGTCTAGGGCAACCGCTCTACCAACTAAACTATAGATCGACTTAGTAGACTAAGTATTTCTCTATGTATTTGTAGCGATTTTTGTTTTAAAATAATCATGGTATTAAATAAAATCAATATTTATAATATTTTTAATGAAAATTATACATACAAGTAATGACCTAATCAAAGCTAGTAATAAATAAGGTAAATGATAATTTTAACAAAAAAAAGATATCTATAATATGTATATTATATCTGGTTTAGATCGTTAACAAGTTTCGTATAATTGTACATGATTTGAATTAGCACCTTACTGCACGAACGGCAAATTCTAAAACAGCTAAACTCTTAT